GCACGTTTAAGTTTTTTTAATTATTATTATATGCTGATTGAGATGTTTGAAGGGTTTTTTTCATGAGTATTATATTAATTGTTCACTTACCTAATTATTTCTATTAGCTTTGTTTTGTTGAATATGAAAAATATATTATTCTTAAGACGGACAAGTGACATATTGCTGAGTAATTTTTGACATGGCCTTCCAACAAATAAAAGAAAATTCAAATAAATAAAGAAGAGAATGTGTGGTAGGAGACTAGATGATGGTGGGGAAGTTGGTATACCAACTTTGACACGTGACATGGTCATACTAAAAAAAGTTCGTCCAAATAATTGGCTACCCACTACTGTATTTTATAAGCAAAATTATTGTTTTATCTTTTTTTAGCCACAAAAACAACAATATCCCCGTATATATATATATATATAATATACAAAATTACTGGTGGCTGGAGAGATAATGTGCCTTTGTCACGTAGCTGATTGTGATAAAGATTCCTTTATATATAGCTACAGTCTCCCAATCACTTCATGCAATTTTCACATTTTATTGGAGGGAAAATATAAATATTAATAAATTATCGGAACGAAAATGCAGGTGCTCAGATGAGAAGAAACCAAGAGCAAAACCCTACAAGTTCAGTAACCAGAAGCTGAGGGACCTGGGCTTTGAATTCACACCAGTGAAGCAGTGTCTATACGACACCGTTAAGAGCTTGCAGGAGAAGGGTCATCTCCCTCTTCCTCCCCAACAGCATGAAGACCCTGTTAGGATTGAGTCTTGATTTATCTAATTTGTGTATGTATTAGTATATATAAGTGTCCTACCTGAGTCAACTAAGAGTTTTATAATCCACTGAGGCTACCTCATTTGCAGGAAAAGCAAGTATCTGAAGGGTAGCTATGTATTTATCAATGGGTAAATAATGTCTTAATTAGGGGAGGTCAGTTGTCCTAATGAAATACTACTTGAGAAACAAAGATACTCCTGTGTTGGCGGATTGTGGGTACCAACTTTTGTGTCCAAGCTAAAATTTTATTTTTCATTAATCATTTTATTTCCCCTTACTATTATTTGCAAGTATTATACACAAATACATATATATATATATATATATAGATTCTTAACTAATATATATTTTTAGGTGAAACTAAATGACAAGTGAAGGGACTTCTCTCACATGTCAGTCTTCTATTGGAATCCTACTTCATCAATTAAAAGTTATTAGTGAGAATATAAAGAGCAAAATAAAGATAACGAACAATTCAAGAGTGGTAGGATGAATAATTAAAATATAACATGAATCACTAACTCAACAATGATAGTCTTGTATGATAGTGTAAGAAAAGAATTCACTATTATGTCTTTGGAGTACAATGGAGATATAATGCAACCACATGATATTTCTTCTTCGATTAAAATGAAATTAATTTGATAATATATATAATAAAATAAAATAACATTAAAGTAATAATACTTATTAATTATTTATTTAAATTTTTTTAGTACAAATAAAATTTTAATTAATTAACTAAAATGTATATAATTGTTATCTATTTAAATATTATCTAATTACACATTCTTAAATTATGCATTATATAAACTTTTGGTAACTTTTTTGTTTCTTACACCTCGTTTATCTTACAGATTTTTGTTAAAAAATATAAATAATTTTGTAAATTTTATTAAAAACTCTTTAACTTAAAGACTTTTATATATGTAACATAATATTTATGTTATTTTTTATATAACTATATAAAATTCTTCTGAAATTATGTTAAGTTTGTTTTTGGATTTGTTCATGGTATCACAAAATTCAGTTAAAATTTTGGTGTAGTTATTGATATTTCACTATTTTTATAAGAAATATGATATTAAATCTATTATTTAACTACAAAAAATTTAAATAAATATTATTATGTAAATATATAAATTAATTATGGAATACACATTTTCTACAAAAATAAGAGTGTTACATACTTTTTTTTTTGTTAATTTTCTTTTTACCTTAGATAAACTTAGAAACATATTTAAATTATGTAGTCAATTCAAATTCCGAACATGTGTTAGGATCTGACTTTGACATACAGTTCACTAGGACCTTAGTTTTAGTAAAAAAAAAAATTAGTATTTATAGTAAAAAATGATAAATAAGGGTAGTTTTGAAAAAAAAAAAGTAAAATTATGGAGGAAAAATTTAGAAATAAAAAAAAAATAGAAGGAAAAGATTCTTGAAATAAAGAAATAGATGGGGGAAAAAAGAAAAATTAGAGAAAGAGTGATGGAACCTTAGAGAGAGAAAATAGAGAGAGAAAGAGTGTTTAGAGAGAGAGAGAAGAGAGAAAAGATAGATTTATTTGAGATGATTTCCAACAAAAACTACATGATTCTATTTTTTTATAATCCTTTATTTATATAAGAATATGAAGTGAAGAGTTTACTTTTCTAATTTAGTAATGCTTTAAATCACTATTTTTTTTATAAAAAAAATTATTACTCATAAATTAATATTATACAAATACACGCATGTACTGAATTAATTTTGGAACTATTTTATTTTCTTTCATGATTTGATGTGGCAACACCAATACCAAATAGATATATATATATATATAACAATACGTGCATTTATTAATTGAATCTTAAAAGTAACTCACTTATATGCATGTATGAAGTTAAATTTACAATGATTAATTAGTTTTCTTTAATAGTATAATTTTACAAACACTGAACTTTATGTATAATGTCTTACCACATCAAACTTTATATCTATATATATATATATGTATACATATGTATAAGTAGTATGTGTGTGGTTCTGACTGAATGTGGTTTTGCAAGTACAAATAAATAAATATTAAAGCCCCATAAAAATGGGGAGTGATGGAAAGCAGGAAGCACCAGATCTTGTATTAGTCAAACTATTCAATATATAAATTATAAGTTGCTTTTTCTTTTTCACTTTTAAATAAATATTTGAATAACTTTTTTCTATAAAAAATTAAGCTATTATTTTATCTAATAATTTTATTCTCTTGTAATTAAACTCAAACATACTATAGGAAGTTAAGAAGACGAACCCACTAACTACCAATACGTTTTCCAATCTTAGAAAGGCAAGCTGAAATTGGAGAAGGCAAAGAGTTTCATAATTGAGTAGTTTAAATTGGTAAACACACTTTTATTCTTTCATTTTTTTTTTTTAAAAAAAAATCCATTTATTATCCTAAAAGATATATGATATAGTATGATATCTCGCACTCTAAATAGACCGGGCATTATTACCGTCAGTATTTATCTACTGGTCATGTATCCCTACACAGAACCATTTAATATAATTAGTCAAAAATTATCCATTCCAATATGTTGGTAAACCGTGCCTCTGTTATCATCCATTCATATACAAATGTGGGTATCATTCTACTTTGAAGATAAAACATCATTTCCTACCTCGTTGAAAGGAAAAGAAAGTGCTCTTCATACATATATAAACTCAATTATGTGTTGTATAAAATGAAAAAAGTATTGATACTTTGTTTAGGTTTACTAAAATAATTTTATGAAAGAAATTTTTCAAATTGTTAATATTTTATATCGACTAGTTACATGAAAGTAAAAGTCAATATTATATCTAAATATAAATTCAAATCTCATCCAAAATTTTTTAAAATATAAGTCTTTGAAAGTCTATTTACCTTACTCTATATTATTTTTGCACTAACTATAAATTTGTTTGGTTTAATCTAAATTACAAATAAAGTATTATTATACATGATTAATTAGGTATTATGTTATAACCCGAGTACATGATTTCAATTTAAAAAAAGTTACATTCGGGTTTGAGAGAAAGAAATGGAGAACGATAGGAGAAATAAAAGGATTTAAAAGAGAGAGAGCGAGAATACCAAGAGGAAGAGATAGAAAATCAAAGAAAATATATATATATATATATATATTGAGAGAGAGAAAGATTATAAAAATTTGAAAGAGATAATGATAATATATTCAAAAAATTTCATTCATTGAATTAATTATATATACGAAGATTGGTGATTTTATATAGAAATAAAACATGCATACAAGTAAATAAATAGTCAATTTTCTATAAAAATTCATAAAATGATAAAAAAAAAATATTTAAATTCATTGAACAAAGGTGAAACAAGAACTGACTCGTTAACTAAAAGTTTGAGAGAATTAAAGATATTTCCATAGTTCTCTTCGTGCACCTCTATGCATCTTCTACTTTCTAATTTATTATTTTCTGTTTGCATTCGGATCCTTATATATTACTACTTGCTACTCTGTTACCACAATTGTTTTGCCATTGCCTAATATAATTCTCGGTTATTCCCGAGAAATTATCCTCTACAAAACTACATGCTGACATAGCCTTAAATTTCTATTGGTAGTTGGATATTTCATAAAATTTATCAGTCAACTATATGAAAACGTTCTGCTATATCATGGCATACACGCTACATAAAACATTTTCTCATGTGAAGTGGCTGTAACTCGACCTATACGAGATTTGCAATCAATTGTCCATCTAAATATATTAATTAATTGAAAACTGATATTTGTAATTATATGTATTGTTATTTTAATGCTATGTGTTTGTTCGGATCAATTATCACATTGATTTTAAAATAAATATTGAAAATCACATTATTTCTTAAGATATTATCATATTCCCATTGCATGCTGTCATATGTGGGAAACTTTCTTCCACCTTACTATTGCTGGCTGGAATATATATATATGATTTTCTGGAAGGAAAGCTTTTATCTGATCTCACTGGAATTTTGATTCTTGATAGGAGACCCCCCCAACAAAATTCAGCTTCAAATTCAAATAAAGTATGAGAAGTTGAAGATTATCTCCGATGTTCAAATGAAATGTTATCATAACTACGGGATTGCTTAAAGGGTGACCAAAAAAGTGCAGAGATGGAGCCAAAATGTTCAGATTTTATATACCTAAAATACACTTGCCATTAATGAAAATTAGCAGTAGTTTTGGGAATAACTTCTCCCAAAGTTAAACAAAGAGCTTCTCCTACTCAAGTCTTATTAGTAAACATCTGATGAAGCCACTCTCTGAGGCAACTGCATGCTTACTATGTCTTCTCTAGGGAGACTATACATTGGTGCATTACCATTAGAAATTTCTCGACTTTCAGGTGTTGTTAATGCCAAAAGGTGCGTAGCCTCCTTGTTCTTCCGAAAAACAAGATATGCAATTGCAGCCAGATATATAGCAATACCTGAAAACCCAAGTATTCCAAGGAACACGATGGCCACGAGCTTCATATGGCTATGAATAAGTAGTTTGATGAAGCTGCTTACAAGGTAGTATATATTTATCCCCATGATCAGGGAACCTATGATCCAAGTTATGGCTGAAATCTGCCAAGAGAGGAAAATAGACTAAGCGAAATAGATGCACAAAGCAGACACATTAGACCTCTTAAGATCATGTTCAGGTTTAGATGTACACCCCTTAAAACTCCCTCCCATATGTATTAGTTATGTTATAGAAGATTTCACACATACTTTAAATGGAACATTCAGTCCCTTTCTGTTCATTAGCCAAAAGTCCTGATCTATATGTTTGCAAGAAATACATACAAAATATACATATATACTTCCTGTGTTGGGTACATATGATAGGATATGGTCAGAGCTATCTAGTATTTGGCCACTAAATAAAGTGGTTTTTAACCTACCAAGCTGGGGCAGTCTTACCGATCAAACAAACTTAAATCTCACTTAATAAGACAAATATCAATAAGCATTTACAGATAACAAGGGAAGGGCCCAAATCCTGGAGTGAATAGGCCTGAAAGAACTGTAAGAATCATTATTTTTGAAGGACAAAACTAGTTGTTTCGTGAGTTGACAATTTAGACAGCTAAAAGACTTGTATTTTTTTAGTCCTAATCGACCCTGAGATACCAGAGGATGACGTTTACTAGCTGAAGCATGATTTAAAAGAAAATGATATTAAGATAAGAGGAGATTGAGTAGTTGCAGGCACATGTTTCTTGCAAAGATAAAGAGAGATAAGCTCAAATAATCATCCTGCTCTGTGATTTGTCTTAAGAGCTTGTCCTACTTTTGGATCTTGTACTGGCAACTTAGAAGAGCAGAAAATGATGGTGAGGATTCACATAATTTCCTGACAGAAACCCATTTTAGGGCTGGATTCAGTATAGAATGGGCATCAAGAAGAATAAGATGAAGAATATGCATGTTTTGCATGCGTGATTATAATTTTGGGTTCTATTTACAGTATGACAAGAAGAGAAGAAAGAGGTGTTTTAACGCATAAAAGCTAAAAGTTCTATATAAAATAACAAAAATCAAATCATATGATACTGAACTATCGAATAAAAACAACAAGATTTGAATTGCAACACCAGTCAGCATGATTTTGGGAATTCAGTATGATCTTGAGCATTATTAGCAGACTCTACTAAAGCTTGATAATCTGGACAAAATACTGATAACCGTGACAAATGCTCCACCATTTCTACATACAATCATGTTGTAACTTTGTACGTATAGATTAAAACCATTCTCATCTGTTGTCTTGCCTGTTCGGTCTTATTCTTTTGTTTCTTTCTCGTTAAATTACTTGGTATCTCCACTTCTAATAATCACCCTACCCTTTTCTCTCATATGCTCTCTCAAAGTTGCTGGAAAGATCCCATAAATTCTCCACAGATCCTTATACAACCAATTCCTACAATCTTTCCAGCATCTCTTGCCAGAATACACTCTTCAACGTTGACTTATCACCCAACTACAAACACTGACAAGTTATTCGTCGTCATACTCAACTCCATGGCTAAGTTGTGGGATTTGACTTGGTTAAGACAAGTTACTAATCCTGCAAGGATTTTAGCATAATTTATCGAGACTTAGTTGGTGGAAAATGTGATCCTAATTTTTCATTGTACGATGCATGCCTATTTAAAAGAACTCTTTTTTCTACCAACATGTCTCTCCGACTAGAAGTAATATTGGAAGCACATTCAGGAAGTATAACTGGTCATTTCGAAAGAGATATAACAATTATCATGGTGGACGATCAATTTATTGGACAAGCATAAAAAGAGATGCGGGTCAGATAGTACCCAATGAGCCATATAAGCAAGAATTTTTTACTGGGTTTGTTGAAACCACTAGATGCCATGATTCAATATTTGTGGTACTAATCAGTTTTCAAAATGGCTCATTTCATACCATGTGCAAAGAACCTTGATGCTTCTCATGTGACCAAACTGTTCTCCAAAGAAGTAGTTCTTACATGGACTATCCCTATTTATTGTTTTTTATTGTGATACAAAATTTGTTAGTTAGTTTTGGCGTACCTTGTGAAAGATGTTGCACACTCAACTCAAGTATTCTACACCTTCCACAAACTGATGGACAAACTGAAGCTACCAACAGAAGCTTGGAAGACCTACTTCAATGTTGTGTATGCAATTATATTGCCAATAGGGATCTTTTTCGTCCCATTGCTGAATTTGCTTTCAATCAATCATTCAGCAAATCAAAGCACAAGAATCTGTCCTTTTGAATGCGTTATGGACACAACCAAGGAAACTTATTGATTTGGTTCACTTACCACTGGATGCAAGTCCTAGAATTGAGGCAGAAGACTTTACTAAACATAAACATGAAATACATGCAGAGACAACAAATCGCTTCAAGTAATGAAGGTTGCTGATTAAAAAAGAAGACTTGCTGACTTTAACGAGGGAGATGTGGTTATGGTACACATCAAACCTGAAAGGTTATCTAAGGGCGTCTACAGGAAACTTTATTTAAAAAACGTTGACCCTTACAAAATTCTCAAGAAGACAGCTCAAATGCTTATGTTATTGATTTGCCAAAAGATATAAGTAAGGTCTTCAATGTTGAGTATCTTACTTCATATCAAGGAGGTGACTCTACTATTTCTCATATTAGTATTCTTATTTGCTTGTCAGACAATCCAAAATATCAAGGAGGAGACTGAAGATATTATTGATTATCAGGAATTAGCTACAAAAAATAGTATTTCTCACAAGTTTCTAGCAAAATTGAAAGGATGCCCTCAAATTGATTGCACTTGCATTACAGAAGCTGACCTCAAGACAGCTCAACCCTCTCATGCATGCCACATTCTATGGTTTCAACTCAATGGAGCCAAGTTTTTCCCCCTGGAAAGAATTGATAGCGCATAGCCACAATAGGAATTATTTACTGTTGGGGTTATTTTTCAGTTTATTATTTAAGAGTCTTATTGAAGATAAGAATTTATTCTTATTAAAATATTATTCCTAACTATAATTAAATTAGAAAATAATAAACTAGAAAAATTAGAAATAATACAAGATGTAGTGACTAAGAATCCTAGATGCGATATCTAAGCTTTTCCCCAATTCTTAGTAGGCAAATTAGCCCTAAATTGTTTTATATCAGTATGTATACCAAACAGATACTAGAACAAAGGCACACTTATCATTGACTTATTTGACACTACCTAAATATTTCCGATACTAGCCAATGCAATAACTTTTAAGAGATTACATTTTATTACATTTTATACATTTTATACTTTAGCAAAGATATAACAAGCAATGCAAAGAGGTTTATGCTTTATGAGATTAAACCATTCAGTTAAGAGTTTTCCAGAAAAATCATTTATCTCCCAATAGAATTCGTGTGATTTACAATTGGATAGCAACATAAGAACTGGAAAAGAAAAAGAACAATAATATTTACCATAGTTGAGTTTGCATATGTCCCCATCTTGGTCTTGCTGCTGGTGAACTTGAGAAGTGGAATCAATGCAAAAGGGAGCTCAAATGATAGGATCATCTAACATGGCATGAAGTTAAGTCTAAATAATTGGGCAAACTGATATGTATTTGATGAATGATAATCATCACACTAAATATATATTTAGGAATTCAAACTCTACAATCAACATATGGCCACCATCAAATCTCATTTGCTCACAGGTTATTCATTAAAATTAAAAAAGCTTTAAGTATTACAGACTTAGTGCAACCAATTGGTCCTACAAGAGCACACTTCAAGAAGCATGATTTACTTCAGGTCCGAACTTCCACAAGCATAATAGTATTGCATAATATTATATATAATTCATAATCTCATCATGTTTCCACATGCAAGTATTTTTATGGACTTGAAAAGAAAAAAATGCAATTAATTTAACAATATCTAAAATACGTTGGAAGAAAAGATTCACAGGTAAGAATTTCATACCGATGCAATAATAATCAACTGTCCAGCTCCAGCAGAGCCACCAATTACTGCAACAATTAAACTAGGGACTATGGCCAAGCATCTAGTTAGGAAGTTCCGAATCCATGGTCTCAATCGTAAATCCAAAAATCCCTACAAAGTGAAGAAAAAAAATAATAAAAAAAAAATGTGAGCCAACCATCCCTAAGTTAAGACTGTATCAAACTATCCAAGGGGACCCTTATTATGTGGGCTCCTCAAGTCCCAATGTTTACCGTAATGAGATTCTTGTTAAGAAACCCTGCAAAAATTTGAGGAAAAAAATGCAACAAAAATAACACAGGCTTTCCTTTTGATCTACATTATGAAGAATATCTACTATATTCTAATAACAATAAGTATAAGAAGAAAACTATGGAAAATCTCATACACCCTTGAACCTCAGTACACCTTTCAATTCCATAAGTTATGTAGGATTCTATATTAGGAAAGTGATAATGATGAATGATTTGGTGTAATTCTAGATTTAGTTGACTTCTTAGTTGATTGAGATTCGGTTATTTAACAAGCAGACTCTCCAAAATTTCCTCCTGAATTCTATCCTTATTGAATAAAGGATAGAAAATTAGGGTTTCTTGGTGTGATGTAACTCCTATATATTGTTGTATTTCTCTTCATAAACACATAACAATAATTCTAAGAAAATACCATCAGAAAATTACATGGTATCAGAGCAAGGCACTCCAGAAAATTGCCTTCTCTGAAACGAAAACCAAGTTTCATGGCCAAATACAGCATGAAGACCTCATCGTCCTAGGCAACCTCCAATCCTAAAGAAGTCACGACCGGGAATACTCGTGGAGGACGGGAAGGACAATCTATCCTTATCATAGGTGACAACTACTTTCAATGGTCCCAATCTGTGATGATGTACAACTACAGAAGAAGTGGAAGAAGAAACAGAATAAGAAGAGGCGGAAGAAGAAGACATCACCGAGGGTAGCGAGAAATGGAGCAATTGGAGCGCCTGGCAATGGCTGCAACCGTGGTGAGGCGTCTCACGGTGATGGTGTGCGAGACTGTTATGATTCCGAGACTAAGATCTTGTCACTTAGCAGTTTTCTAGAATTTTCGATTCCAGAATCTACTTTTTCTCATTGTTGTGATTCTTTAAGCGACCTATTTTGTGAAAATAGATTACAGCTTATCAAAGGGAGCTGCTATCTTGGACCTCGTTAGAGAGAGCTCCAATTTCGTACTTTAAAATAATATTCTGACTTATCTTTATTAATAACAAGCATAACCGTTTATATATATATTACAATTCTTTTTTAGAAATCTTAATCTAATTAAAAATACTTTACTAAAATATTAGAAATCCTATACTATTTAAAAATTCAACATTAATGAAAAATCATATGCTATTAGGAATCTAATACTAATTAAAATTCCATATTTACTATTTACAAATCTAATATTAATTAAAATTTCATATTTAATTGAACCTCAACCTCTTATTTATGCCTTAATAATGAGACTATAACAGACACCTTCGCACTATTTATGCGGCACCCATTATACTAAGAAGATCTGAGTTTTGGCAGTCATGGGGAATTTCTGTAAGGAAGCAGGTGCAAGAAGAAGAAAATGCATCTGGGAGCAAAGAAGTAAAACTGCTACAAATCCATAAATGGGAAATAGCTGGAGAACACGTGGCAAGGATCTAGGGAAGTCGGGGAGACATGGCAACAATCCAGAGAAAATGAGGATGCGTGTCGAGTTCTAGTGAAAGATGAAAGAAGGGGCAACGTGGCCTCAACTTGAGAAAGGAAAAAAGATGACGTGGCACCATTTGAAAGATCAAAAACACGTTATAGAGGAAAGAACACATGGCACAAGTCCGACCGTTAAAAGAGGGACGCGTGGTGCAAATCCCACCATTGAAGAAGAATTTCGAAATTCCTGTTGGTGAGAGAGTGAACGAATATGGACATAAAAATATTTATATAATAATAATAAACAAAAAAAATTAAAAAGTAAAAATATAAAATAAAATAAAATATATATTTAAAAAAACCCAGATATATATGAAGGTTAACCATGTCTTTAGCACCAAATAATTGGAAGCTGGATCTCAATCTTAAGGGTAAGGTTGATGTTCAAGGAGTGGGTATTAGCAGGACACCACTTAAGGATAAAAAAGAAAATGCACTCATTGGGATAAATTAGTCTTTTCATGTATTAGGGTAAGGGTTTGTTGCTGTAAATGACAAAATATTAAGGTAACCTTCTCCATCGCCACCCCCACAACATTCGGGCAGTTTTCGTCTGTCTTTGTCACTCTCCTCCTTTTCTTTTTGAATAAAAAGTGTAAAAGTATATTAATATGGTACCAAACAACCGGAGGTACCGCTCCTATACATAAAGCTTTACAATGTAGTTAGTGAGTCAATGACATGTTCAAAATTCACATCACTAATCATCTCATATCCTAAGAATAAAAACCCAAAATAATGCATTCACCTATCTCTCAACCTATACAAATCAGTAGGTTTACCCTTAAAAGCTCTATAATCTCTTTCCTTTCAAAGAATCCAAAACAAGAATAATGGAATAATATATTTCAACTTTCGATCTAATTGTATTCCTTCCCAAGCCCACAACTCCTCCCTAATAGACCCAGCCATCACCCAACTTACACCAATCAAACTATAAATAGCACTCCATAATCCAAACGCCATCGGACACCACAATAAAACATGCCTGCAGCTTTCCACATCAGCCATACAGAAATAACATCTGTCGGGAATAAACAGCCCCCTGCTTTTGTCACTCTCCTCCTTAAAATTTATAGCCTATAAATGATGCTTCTTCTAGGAATATAATGATCGAAAAATTATTGAAATCAAAATATATTCTCTCAAATCTAGTTGATTTCTCAGCTTTCTTTCTCTCTCTCTCTTTCTTTCATATCCGATCTATGTATCAGGCTTGTGACACTAACCAAGATTTTATTACCCTAACAAATCTGGTACATATACAGCTATGGTAAAATCAATCTTTCCGCAAGGATTAGGATCTAGATTTTTGTGTTATTTTCCATAATAATACAAATATTTTTCTCAAAAAGTACACCCTCCACCCACAAAAAACAATCCAATAAAATATTTGAGTCATAAAAGCATCACCAAATAGTTAGGATTTGATAAAACAGACCTCAAGTCACATTCAGGATGCTGTAAAAGCTAAACGATGCTCTTGCCACTCTAAACATCAACGAAAACTCTTTTGCCAACTTGTGGTCATCGCAATCAACAATCCAGATCCAGATTCATACTTATTATACGATGCATTAAACAGAAACTCTCTCTAGATCCATAGCGCAAATAGTTTTTGACCAATCTACTCGACCCGATCAGAACTCAAAATTTGACAATTGGATCGGGACCAAACTTTAATTGTAAATTCTCCTGTGGCCAGTCACTGGAGCAGTTGTGTCAGATCATCGACCTGAGTCCTTGGAAGTGGTGAATGGACGGCCTAGTCCAGTCACACGGTTCCCAAACTGGTCTAGCTCCTTCATCAATGACGACCAAAAATTGTCTAGCTCCTCTCATTTTCAGTGGCGGCACAATGGTCCACCATCAGTGGCAACAATTACTTCCTCCTCACAGCTGTTTTGCAATCTCGTGATCTTCCAACTCTTTGCAATTATTTTTCATTTTCTTTTATTGATTTTTTGCCAAGGAACAGATTCCGTCAAAATACACCAACCACAGTCCAATATCACTTACTAGAATTTGTGTAAAAATTAAATTAAAAAACACAAAAAAAACAATATGGTCAGTCCACTTAATCTATATTGACGGGAATGTCCAATATATTCCAATAAAAGGAATTCAATGAGAAAAAACTGTAAGAACTCTTTCACGCCCTTGATTCTGGGTGTACCTAATTTCTCTAGGTCACAAAACACTATTAGTTTCTCAACCCCAATGCTCTCGCATTTACCTGTTCTGTTCTCAAAAAATAGCTATCAATTTATACTAAACTGACAAACCTTCCTTCTTTTGTGCTCAGCCTTCAAAAGTTTTTGTCTGTTTAGGATATTAGGATAAGTATTGGACTTGAGAAGTCCATATAACAACCATGATGTACTCTTTGCTCTTCCATCTACCCTAATGCATACTAAGAGAAAAAGTCAACCCTTACTAGATGGGTCACGTTATCTCAATTATTTGAGTAGATGTATTAATACCTTTCCAAAAGAAGAGGATAGAAAACCATCTACTTTCTTATTATCTTATCAATTGTTGGCCAATTAATCATTCAAACCGGCTAAATTCAAAGTGATTTGGGTACACAGAACTAGGTAGCAAGTACCTGCATAACATATTGCCCGGCATATGTCCCTGTTATAGTAGAACTCTGACCTGATGCTAGCAAGGCAATTGCAAAAAGTTTTGAACTCCAGCTACCTAAGACATTCTGCAACAATAATTAAAAACCATTACTACGAGAGTGTGTAAATAAATAATATATTTTAAAGAAAGTGCAAACTAACACTATGGGTGAGGTAAAATAAACTTATCAAGTAGAAACCAAATGACTAGATTGTAGAACGATCAGCTACGAACTTTGAGTAAAAAGGACGCTTTGTTCAAGTCCAGATCTTTGCAGCTCGCTTGATCTTCTTGATTCAAATTTGAGGAATTGCAAACAGCACCACTTACTGAAATTACGGACACATTGATGAGAAAGGCTACCATTAGAGCAAATGCACTTTCTATCAAATAGAACCTGCAAGCTTCCTGTACCAGCAAGTCATAGTTGTTGCTAATTAGTACATTCAATGGATTCATCAGTGCCCCATAAATATATAAATGAATACAATAAGATCATGAGACAGACTGAGATATTTTCAACTTCCCCATAAATTGAAGTGCTGATATTTTTATGTTCTGTTGGTTTCTTTTTTCTGTAAATTTAAGAGATAAATTCATGCAATTTCATCAAAAGTTGAGTTCTTTATTCCTAGAAAGGAAATTTGACTAATATGGCCAGAATGAGAAAGCTGTTAGAGTTTTGCTACTGTTAAATTTATTTGAACGGCCCTAAACACTGCAACCAAACCAAGAATTTTACTCCCTGACAACATTTTACTGCTAAAGATGGCAACTTGGCAGTATTGTGAAGGAAAAGGCAATCAACGACTAGATTTTGTTGTTCACTGCTGTGAAGAAAAACTAGTACAATGGGAACAGCAAATAAAAGTTGTAGCTAATAGGAAAAAACTCTCATTAGGGTTCTAACAGTACGTTTAGCAAAATCTCCAAATACATCTTCTACACGTTCAGAAACATGCTAGTAGTTCACCTTAATGCCACCAACAGATCGAGGGATTCTTCTGGAAAGTACTAATGCTGAGTGAAGAAATAGATTGTGTCTGCAGTATAGTCAAAAGCAAACAGTTGCGGAGATGAGTAATCATCAGTGGAAAGTAACTATTTTTCTTAATCTGAAAAGCATGAGAAACTTACGGCATCACCATATCACTATTTAATGAAATTGCCAGACCAGTGGCACCATTCCCCTTTAGTGAGGAATATATAGTCCATGTAAAACTTCTGTTGCAACAGGCTTGCT